GAAAGTTTTAGCCATTTTCTTTTTTTTTCCTTCATTAACTGCTATTCCATCATTTCAGGAATATTTTGTTCTAAAAAGAAAGAAAGAAGGTTAAAAATTTTTATAACAGATTATGAGAATTTTCCTCTTATTTCCTCTTCTGCTTTTCTTTTTTTTCAAAAGTACAATCAAAGATGGTTAGTGTTTCAATTAATTTATTTGCTCAGAATTTTTTACAAAGAATTTCTGGGACCTATAAAATGATTTTTTGATGATAGCTTGGGCTATATGATCATCGAAAAACCTCTTGAAATAGTAAAAGTATGCAAAGTTGTAGTAATTTTTTGATTTCATCATAGAAGTATCATTTAATATTGTTTTCAACTTCTCATATAGTCATGCATTTCAAAAATGACAATTTTCAAATTCAAATTTAAGTTATTCCTTCAATATTATTTATATTTTGATACATAATTCTAATGTAATTAGGGAGGTATGCTTAAATCTAATTAAAAAACTTAACCAACAACTGACCAATAGCATATATGAAACAATTGAGTGTAATATGGGCAGTGCTGTGTTCATCTACTATTTACATTTTTAAAATATTGATGAAACAATGATTAAAGCTTGCATATATAAACGAAATCGGGTTTTCTCTTTGAAGAAAGAGAGAGAGAGAGAGAGGAAGAGAAAAAAAGATGAAGTGAATGGGAAACTTGATTGCATAATTGTCTCACTCAATTTCTGGAGATGACAATGGCGGAGATTTTATTCCTATTCGATGTAAGAATGGTATTAACTATTTGTCTCGAAGAGTGTAATTTACTAAGTCTGTGATCTTGTTACTACTTTTATTGTTTATTGTCTACTGTTGTTGTTATTCATCTAATATGACGACGATCTGAATAAGATCAAAAAGCAAATTCAAATTCCAATTTCTCACTCTAAATATTTTTATATTCCAATATGTAAAACTTTGTTTCAGATAGTTAGGAAAGTTCTTTTGAATGATTATTTTTCTTTCTTTTTTGCAATAAAATCTTTATCATAAGCTAGCGTATGTGATAAGTAGAGTTGTAAATGTTTTTTTTTTTTTTTTTTTCATTTTCTAATTTTCATTAATTTTAATATTTAAAAATTTTTGACAATGTTTTGGTCATGTTCAATATAGCTTCATTGTAAACATTTCAGTAGCTTTACATTTAATGATATTAGTGAAATATTATGGGACAATGCCACCATATGCATAAAAATGTAATGAAATTTACATAATGAAGAGAAAAATTTTCGTTTTCTCGTTACGATTAAATTGGTTGACAAGAGCATAACGCAATGACAAGTTTTGATGTTGTGAGTGAGTGAATAACTGAATGAATGAATAGATAGATAGATAGATGGGTAGATGGCGATTTGATCCGTGATAATATGCAGAAACATTAAACTTTTACGTAACCATTAGGAGAGAAGAGAATGAAATATGGATAGAAAACCGGTTCTTCTGTCCAATGATAATGACTTTCAGATGATGAAGACATTTCTATAAGCAAAAGTTACTACTTCTAGCATTAATACCTTCATCCTGGAACCAGAATTTCTCATAATCTCCCTCCCTCTCTCTCTCTTTCATAAATCTTATGATTTGTCCCTTATGGTTGTTTTGACTGCAACAGTTGAAAATATATCGATACAAGTAAAAGAAGCTAATTTTTTTTTTCTTTTATCCATTAATAGAATAAAATGTACTTCTCTGGTACATGATCAAGCAGCAGTTATCATTTGCAGTTCTATCTAGACCAGTTCTTGACATTTAACCAGAATTAGCCCTGAGGCTTCTTAGTTTTTCTCTTCTTCTTTCATTCTTAAAATTTCCACGATTACGCTAAATCTTGTTTCTCTTATGTTTTTTCTTCTTCTTTTACTGTTGGATCACTGACATTGTCATTCTGTTGTCATTTCGTTCTACGAAAAACTTCTCTTCTACTGCCATCCATTTTTCCTAATACAAATGGTTGTTAATATTTTAATCTTTCACTCACATATTTTTTTCTTTCAATTCTCTTCTCTCTTTCTTTTTGTTGTTGTGAAAGAAGATAGCTTTCATTTTTTCTTTTTTTTGAAAAAATAAAAATTTTGTCAATTTATCAAAGTTTTGTTTTCTTTATAAAATGAACAAAATTTCACTGAAAATATCCGCGGCGGTATTAAAAATCAGGATTACTTGTAAAAAAAACTGGTATAATATTTTTGGTCTGCTTGAGTTTTAAACAATCTGAAATCAACAAATTCGCATTCACTATTTGACTCATGAGCCCTTTTTTAACTCTAATTCTACAGATTATTTCTGCAACAATTTTCTTCAACTTTTACTCTTAATGTTTCATTTCTTTTTTTTTAAATTAAAATTAAAAGGTAGAAATAAGAAGAGAAGAAAAGAGAAAAATATTTGGAATAGATGAAGTAAGAATAAACAGTGTGTGAGAAATGAAAAAAGTTCAATAACTCTACTAAAATGGAACACTTTTTTTTTTAAATTCATTTTTTTATTACACCTTCAACGACCATTTTAAACATTCTTTCATAAATAGTTAAGTAAGCCTAGTTTATAAGTTATTCCTGAATTCATTCATGTCTAATCAAACAATGTGTGTATAAGATCCGATCTGACTGTCAATAAAAATATTATGTTATCTTCCATAACTTTTTAAAATTTTCAGTATAGAAAATTTTTTGAGACTGTTTTTTTTTCTGTGCTTGTGGATATTACAATTTTACAATTTTATTACAATTTTATTATTTTCTTTTTTATTCTCAATTTAAATTTATAGAGTTAGAAAAAAATGAATTTTGATCACAAAATAAACCTAATTATCAAGTTTGAGCATAAATTCAAATCTAAGCTTCTATTCCGAGCAAAATTTTAGCAAATAAGCAATGATTTTGATATACACAATAATCAATGACTTTCAAACTTTTTAATTTCACCTTTTTTAAAAATTCCATGCTTAAAAAAGTTGCATTCTCTTAGATGACTTCATAGCCAACTGTAATAAATGTTAATGTTTGCGAAATATTTTTATATATACCTATTCTTCATTACCACTTTTTCTTTTAATGCCCTTTTCCTGAAATTAATGAACATCGATGTGCGCTTTGTATCGAACGACAACAACGCCATTCTGTTACGCTATATCTATCGCATGATATATTGTATTCATCAGATCCCTATGTTCATTCTCCTTCTCAATTTATCTATAGAATTGAGCTATGATTGGTTGAAGGCGTAGATCCGCTTCTGGTCGAAACTTGTTTCTTCTGAAGATAATAGAGGAAAGAGCGATACGATCAGATGATGCTTTTGCCTTATGCATTAAATTAAACTATTTTTATTACCTACCACTACCACTACTACTATTACTACTTCTACTACTACTACTATTATTATTATCATTTCATCTTATCAGAATTAATTTATTAATGCAATGTTTCCATGTAATCATTTCAGCTTTTTAAATTATTTGTTTTCGTTTTGTTCAAAATGATGAGAGGAACGAAAAGATTATTCAATTTCCTTCTCTTTCCCTTCCTCTCTCACTCTCCCTCTCTTCCTCGAAGGAGAAGAAGAAAAAAAAGAACAATGAGAAATTTTATTCCGATAATACTTAAAATAATTGGAAAAGTATATTCTTCTTCTCTTTCTTTTTCTATTTTCTGAATGAGATTTCTGTTATCGTTCAAAAATTCATTAATTTTGCAATGAATTTCTCTAGTGCATATGAGATTTTTTACTAGTTTTATGCAAATTTTTAACTTTCTTTTTTGCTCCCTTACTCAACTTAGCTTTTTTTTTTTCAGTTTGCATTGAGTACAAGTAAATAAAAAAAAATCATTCGTTCGTTCATTTCTTAACCAGTGATAACAAACAAATTTTGTTTTAGGCTAAAATTCCATACAATATTTATCAGTTGTAACTAATCAACAAATGGAAAAAGGTATATTATTTTAAAATTTAAAAAAAAAAATTAATTTAAAAATCTATCAAAACCCTTGTTATGAAAGTTAAGGACCTCAGTTAATTAACTTTAAATTCTTAAAATGATTCTGCATGATTGTTCATAATTGGTTACGAACTTACGTTTGACATATTTAACGCATTCAACGATGATCATCCAACATCATCTTCTATCACTCATTTAAAAAACAATGTTCAGAACTTATTAAAATTTTAAATTATGTTCATTCTTTGATATTATCGTTTTCCTAAACAGCTAAATATAGATATATCAGCTAATTAGCACTTGAGAAGAGAAATCTCATACATTTACCACTACCACTCGTAAAATTACATGTAATGAAATGCTTAGTAAATAATGCATACAATTGTTTACGTTACTTTCTCATATCTTTTACGATAAATGCTTACGTTCTATTTATTTTTTAATTTATTTGTGTTAACTTTGAAATAAATTTTTATTAGAAAAAAAGCATTAAATTAGATAAAATTAATCACATGAATTATAAGCATATTTCATATTTTCTACTTCACCTTATTCGAATTCTTCCCTTTCTTGCAAAAGAAATTTAAGATTAATTCCATATTTGTAATATGAGAATTATTTGCTAATTGATAAGTAAATAAATTTATATTATTTTAAAATTTAAAAAAAAAAATTAATTTAAAAATCTATCAAAACCTAATATATATATATAAGTAAGTAAGTAAATAAATTTCAAGATAAGTAAATAAATTTCAGCATTCATTTGACATTTATTGGTTTGTGTAAAGTTCAGCAACGAAAAAAGAACACAAGAAAGCCAACAATAAGAAGTCAAGAAATCCACTATAGCCAACTATCAGGTTATCAGGTTATCAATACAACCTTTGAACTTCGTGTGATACTTCCCATTAATGTCTCAGTGGGTTCAACATTTCACCAGGATAGAATCATTAGCAACACTGTTTGCCAACCATTTGTACAGAAGCTACAAAAATTGCGACAGTTGCAATGGGCGAAGACATAATGCAACATGGGCCAAGGTCGAATGTATTCCATGCTGGCACACCCAGGAACATCGTTAATCATCCCCAGAATTTGGATCCGAAACCTGAAATGGTTGTTTGTGGCGGTAATGCTACAACGGTAATTTCTTCAGTAGTAGCAACAACAGCAACACTTGCGAACAATTCCAATGAAATTGGCAATTCGTCTTCTTCATCGAGCGCTACCGGGTCACCAGTCAATGATGATTATGCACATCGGAATTACGGTGCACAATTTTCAAATATTTAAAAATTTGAAGACAAACTTACTATTAATTTATTTAAAATTTTAACATTCTTTCTCCTTATCGAGCTAAAAATATTAAAATCTAAAACATGCAATTTCCAGAAATTTTTATTTAAATTTCATTTTAGCAATAAACATTTTCAGTTTCAAGTTCGTCGTTAATATGCAAAAGTATGAAAAGTAAACCTGAAGGTATGAATGAATGGGATTGGACTAGCATGTCGGAACACAATTTTGCCGAACTTTGTGTATTTCATGTACCTGATAAGCCATTAGAACATCAGGTAAGCGATTATTTCATTTTTTAACTTTAATTATTTGCATATGTAAACATTTTTATGAAACATTGCAACAGGCAAATCTATCAGTGTTAATTTCGACCTCAACCTAAATTTTCTTTTTTATCATTTCACCGGCATGTAATCACATCGCCTGTCCTATCAACTTTCAAATGCAGTTTATCTACCTGAAATGATTGTAACTGATAATGGAAAATAATAATTTTATTCTGGAAAAGGAGTCTGAAAAAAAAACTTTAGCATTATTTACCATGATTTTACTGAAGCCATTTTTTATTACTTAGTGACGATATTTCAAGAATATTTTAAATTTAGTATTTATAAAACTTCTTCGACAAATGATAAAACTGATTTGATTCAGTCCATTTGCAACATGTAATTAATATAACTGTTTCTCGTAACGATCATAAAAGTACCGACTGTGTCACCTATTTAGGATCCAAACAATCGCGCCGCAACATCGCTACCATTAAACTTGACCATTCGATCTTCACATGAACTGCCTAAAGTAATTAGTCATTCCTTCACTACTTTTCTTTTCCCTTCTAAAATATTTGCATTTTAAATGATTATATTGAAAAAAGAAAAAAAAGTTGAAAATGCGATATTGGCAAATCATTATTGATTAGATTAGATTTGAACATAAGAAAATCTTTTAATGTTATTTTGCAGTCTGAACTTTTAACTGTTATCTTAATTGCATTAATCACGCTACCAATTAAAGTTTCTACTCACTTAAACTTAAGCTTCCAAGTTTTTTAAATTTTGACATTCTGCATACAAATGCAAAATAAAAAAGGTAATTTTTCTTTAATAAAAGTTATTAAAAGTAGTGATATTTTGCTAATAGGCGATGGGTGTCTGGAGTATGGACTACATTCCACGTGGTGCACGTTTCGGACCTCTGGTCGGTGAGCACAGGAAACCGGACATTACGGAAGCTACAGTAAGCCCGGCAGAAGCTAGCAGTGCTAGTGGTTTATGTCACCCCCATTGTGGTGATGCTTCAAGTTCCACCCCTGGAAGTGAGCTACCTTGGGAACCTATCTGGAAAATATTTAGCAGCAGCGGTAGCATATTAATTCGATTGCTGGATGTAAGCGAAAATCGCAAAAGTAATTGGATGAAATTTGTAAACCGGGCACGAACCAAGGAGACGCAAAATTTAGTCGCTTGCCAGGTTAATTTCAATATTTCAGGGAATCCTGTGATGGCACATTGGATTTAAGAGTTATAGCAGTATAAAATGAATAATCAAAAGTTGGTAAATGAGACAACACAAAAAGATTATTCCTTAACTAATTTTTATAGCTAAATGAATGTGTCGTGCTTTTCTGAAATTGCGTGTAATCACGTTTGAAATTCTTTCTGAAGGAGACAAATTTTAACAGAAACATTACTTTTATTGTACTTATATACTATTTCGGGCTATCAGTTTAGGTAGAAAGTGAAATTTATTTCTATTCCGTGAAAGCAATTAAGCCAAACACGGAATTACTGTATTGGTATAGTCAGGACTATGCGCAACGCATCAATTTTCCAGCATTCTGCGACTATTGGAAAGTTCCTTCATCAAAAGGTAACATATAATAAACACTTTCTAAAAGCAAAACTTAAAATTATCATAAGCTTGTCTTATTTATGACTAACAAAGGATAAAATAATTGAAACAAACAAAGTTTTACATACATTTCTGAACATACAATAATTAATACTTTCATTGAGTTTTTATAAATCATTTACAAATTTATCATCTGATTGACAATTCTTACTTAATTTTTACCGGATCTAACACTTTAGTTATATCATTATCTCTTTAAAAAGTAACCAGTAGTTTAGAAAGGTAAGTAAATCAAAAGAATTTACCGAGCACTCGCAAGCAAGTATATCGCCATGATTTAAGAAAATTGATTTAGAAAACTATACGTAGAATTAAAAGTTTTCACTTATCTGGATTTGAGGAAAATTTGTGAATTAAAAATTTTTAATTTCGATAATGTAATAACTCAATACTGCATTGCCGCGAAAAAAGTGTAGAATTGTACGGATTTCTGCTATTGTTAGGAATTTTTTCGAAAAAAACATACTGTACTTTTCCGAAAAAATTTTTAAATCAAATTTGAGAATAACTGATAAAATAGTTATTGCAAAATTAAATTAAATCATTGTATAAAATAAAAAGATTAAGCAAGCTGAAAAATATAAGTATTAGAAAGTTGAGATTTTTCTGTTATCCTTTAAAATCGGATCAGTTGGGTATCATAGTTAAGAAATTGTTGCAAAATTCTTTTCTGCAAATTTTATTAGCATATACGTAAAAGTATGATTGCATTAATGAAGGAAAAATAAATACTTACTTGGAAGTGGGGAGAATTTGGAGGAGTTTGCTAAAATATACGCATTTTTTTCGATCAGTTCGGAAAATTTCAAGTTCTTTATTTTTACAGAACGACTCATCGGATCTTCTAGACTTAATAGCTACTTTTATATAACAAATGGAAATTTTAGTTCTGAAGTGTGTTGAAGTAACCAGTGCTCCAGGAACAAGTCGAAATGCTGAAGTAAAACCGCAAAAACAAAAGCAACAACAACAACAACAACAGCATCAACTGACATCATCACAAGAAGCTCTTGATTTCTCACTAAAAAAAGTCTCACCAAAAGTACTAACCATACGTTTATTGATTTATAGTGCGCCCATTATCATTATTTTCTTACTATTATTATTTACTATTAATTGACAAGTGTTCCCACTATTAATTCCAATTATTATTAATTATTAATTGTTATTAATTTCTATTATTACAAATCAATCGAAATTAATTAGAAAATTATTCAAAATATTGCTTATTTGAAGGAGTCAACGGTTGGAGTTGCAAATGTTACATCAAAACGACCAACGGATGCTCATTCGCCGTTTACATCATCGAGTGGTAGCGATTTGACGCAATTACTCAGTGACGATTGCGAATCAAGCATTAATTCTACATCTACGTTGTATGCATAAGTTCATGTAATTTCAAAGATTGAGAATAAAATTTAGGGAATGAGAGGGATGAGGAAGTATGGATTTAGAATATGGCAGTGAATTTCTCGGAGTGAATTGTCTGTCGAACATGCACGGAAAGTATGATTTGTGCATTTCTTCCGGTACCATGAAATAAATTTCTCACAATAATTTTGTTTTTGTCTTGAAACTTTAATCCTCTTTTTTTGAGAAAAATTGCTGGATGATATAGAAATTTACTACAATTAATTTGATATAGAAATTTACAATTCAGGTCATCACCTACATCACCGCTTGCTGCTAATGAAAGACAGCAAAGGATTACGCGACCTAACGTAATCCAAAATCCTGTACATCGTCCGGTTGCAACAAAAATCCCGCAAAGTACAGTACCACAGATGGCAAGCGGATTACCACCACTGCAACCTAATGCTATCAATCCGTACAATACACTATTACATGAATTCTGGCGGCGTAGTTCGGCTTTAGGTGTTACCTCAGGAGGAATTTGGGTACCACCACAACCAAATCATGGTGTTGCTGCAACGCCACATATTGCGCGACCATGTTCGCCTGGACGACCACCTGCTTGCTCACCTGCACCTGCGTTTGCAGCAACAGCAAGTCCACCGTTTGGTACTACTCTTGCCGGGACGCTTTATCCTTCAACCACTCCTACAAAAGCATCATTTTTTGCTGCCCAACCACAACCTCTTCTCCCTTTGAGCATTCCACCGCCGCCTCTTGCAACTTCGCCAACCGCTTTCCAGGCTGCGTCCAGTAATTCGCCGTATTTACGCAACAGACAATCATATCCAGTACAAAAAGTTCATATTTATTGAATAATTCCGTAAAACATCAAATTGAAAAACTTAAGAGTTTGGATCCTGAATTTAAATTTTTAAAATTCATCAAATACGAATTAAAGGCCCTCCTGGAGAATTTCCACCTTAATAATAGAAAACCGAGCTTTATTTTAGTTTCATATTCAGTACAAAAAGTTCATATTTATTTAATGTATTTTAGTTTCATGAGATTTTTTTTTTCAGGTTTTTTTCTTAAGTCGGAAATTTGTAATTGAAACCAAAAATTTAGTATGAAATTTCAGTCTCAAGTTAACGGGAAAACCCGCTATGAATGCAAGGAATGTAGCAAAACATTCGGGCAACTATCAAATTTGAAGGTACATTTGCGAACACATACTGGTGAACGACCATTCAAGTGTAGCATTTGTTTCAAAGAATTTACTCAATTGGCTCATTTACAGAAACATCACCTTGTTCATACCGGTAAGTTTTTTTATGAAATAAAGTTACACAAGTGATAATGTTTTTCTGGTGCTAATACCAAATAAGTGTTTGATACGAAAAGAAAAAAAAAAGACGAATGACATCAATGATCATATGGTATCCATTAACTCAACTGTAGTTAACGTTATAACTGGTTTAGACCATTTGTATTTAATCTTTCGATTTATTTTAGCATTTCTTTTCTTGCAGGCAAATTTGAGTCTATTCTCTTTGTTCTCATATGCAAATATTTCTCTTACTTATATCAATTCCATTTAGTAATTATTTTGGTTAAATGTACTCTTAAGGAGAAAAGCCGCATCAATGTGAAGTTTGTCAGAAACGCTTTAGCAGTATGTCAAATTTGAAGACTCATTTACGTCTTCACAATGGCCAGAAGCCTTATCCATGCGATTTATGTAGCGCCAAATTTACCCAATTTGTTCATCTGAAACTTCATAAACGCTTACATACCAATGAAAGGCCATACAATTGTTCATGTTGTGGTATTTTGCTAGTTTTGTTTTGAGTATTTCATTTACTTAATTTGAATTAATCTTTAAATTTAAATACCTCATTATTTTTCTTAATTTTACCTGTGATTTGCATCTCTGCATCATCTGATGCCTACCAGTGTCAAATTCTCTTGATAATTCTACATAAGTTGGAAACGGGAATGTTACAAGGAGACTTAATTACCTGTTTCAATTTTAAACTAAGTGTCATATTTGCAGGAAAGAAGTATATCTCTCCATCAGGCCTACGGACGCATTGGAAATCGACAAACTGTCGGCCGGAAACCGGTAGCGAATTGCATATAATCGATCTGGACAGTGAGGAAAATAGCGGAACGCTCCGTGATGAGCAATGTGTTACCAGTACAACACCGGTACCACGATGAATTATGTAGGTCTTCTTATAGTATATGCATATATATGTATATATATGATAGGAGAATATTTGCGATCCGCAGTCCTTTTGCTCTAGATTCTAGGGTCATATAATTGATTAACTAGGCCTATTTGTTACTTAGATGAAATGTTGCTTTGTATTCATGTATTTTTTGATATATTAATCTAGAAAGTCAATATTAACTTTCGAATTTTCAAAAACTCTCTTTTCATGTCAAATAATCCGGGCTAAGTGCTCTTTGTCACTTTCAAACCTAATGTTTGTTTCTAACAACTATGTTTTACTCTCATTTCCAAAATTTCTTAATCTTTTTCTATTTTTGTTCAACTTTTTGTTGATTTTTTAAATTCAGATTCTATTTTTCTTAATAAACTTGCATAAAACAACCAAAGAAATTGTTCTGTATCTATCTGTGTCAGTGTGTGTGTCTGTTTTGTATTTGCATGGAAGTGTACAAGTGTGTGTTGTGTGTCTGTATGTGTAGGAATTCCTGATTCGATGCAGAAGTTTTACTTATTCAGGATCCTCTTCCTGGATACTTTTTAAAAAGCCAAAATAAAATGATAGCATGTGAAATTTTTATTTCAATTTGACATTTAATATTAACTTTAATTTGGAAATCGGAAAAAAGGTTTGGAATCCAATGAATCATTAATCTTACTTTGCTGAAAATAATACAGTCAAATTGTGCATTTCTTTTTCTGTTTACCTAAAATTTGAAAGGATATTTAAATTATTTTGTATTACTTATTCTTACTTTCTAGCAAATACGTCTTCTGCAACGATTTAAAGGGATAAGAGTATATTAAAAAAGCGTTTTTCCTATATTGCACGATCTCTGGTTTCAATTAGCCCTCAACAATTCAATCATTCTTACTTTTCTGTATAATTATTTTAGGAGAAAATGACGAGCTGTGAAGTAAAATTTTATTTCCAAACTCACTCTTTTTTGAGAATTCTAAATTTACCCAAACAGTAAGATGTAACCCGATAATTGCCTATTGCATGAGTAATTGGTACTTCAATATTGATAGATTCAAATTTTGCATTTAAATATTTAATTTTAACATTCAGATTATGGTCACATTCTCGAACTATGATATTCATTCAGCTCGTCAAGCTTTTTTTCGATGTTTTTCAAAACTTTATTTTTGTCTTCTTTACTTCTTTTTTCTATACCATCAGAACAACCCATGTTGTCTTTCTCAAATTGATTATTTCCATTTTGAAATATTTGATTGACTTTTTTATTGTCATGTAAAATATTGGAATATTTGGGAATTTTTGAAGTTTATTTCGCAAAAAATTTGAAGAATTGCAAATTATATTAATTCTAAAATTAGATTTTTTATTTAATAACTTTTTTGTTTAAAAAATATATTTTTGACTGTAAATTTATATTTTATATTTTTCCAAATCTGGGATTTATTATGTAATTGTCTTTTTTTCATTGGAAGATTATAAATGTGAACAACGATATTTAGAAAATGTGTTAGTGCATCTCGACAATCCTTTGAAGTAGCACTAAATTTATTCATTGATTGTTTTCCAACTTGAGATAAATAGTGAGATCGATCGATGTTAATTATATTCATTTGAAAAATGCTAGAAATAATGCGAAAAATCCTTTCTATAACCTCATAACTTTTAATTTTCCAATATTTTCTGGAATAAATTCAGTAAACTACATGGAATTTTAATCTACTTAAAGTGAAAGTCGTAGTAGTATTTAACGTTTTTATACTAACTGTAATATCCATATAGAATCGCTTATTTCTTTCAGTAAACTTTATTTGTTTTTAAATAAACTTTTGTTTGTTTGTTTGTTTTCTTTTTCATTTTTTTCTTTTGTTTTAAAAAATTTCTTTTGAATAGATTGTTTTATGCAAAAGTAATGACAAATTTGGCGGAATAAAACAACAAAACTTTACTTGTTGTTCTCGTATCAAACTTAAACTACTGATTGATTAAATTAACTTGATTACGATATCAGGTTGAAGAATTCACTCCCGAGGAAAAACCAAATGCAAAAAATAATCATCTCTGGTATTAATAGATCAATTTAATATTTCAAAATAAAGCTATGTAATTAAAGCTGGGAAAATCGTTGAATTTTTCATCGGTCCACTAATTCAATATATGAATAATTTGGTAATAAATTGTTTATTAGATGCAATCAATCAATAAATCGATGATTTTTAAGATCAGGAACTATTTATATCAGAAAATTTTTATCACATGAGGTGTCAGTTTTTCAACAATTTCAATAAATAAAGTTTTTTTTTGCATGCGTCTTTTTAGATTTTTTAAACACTTATTTTAATCATCTTGTTAACGTTTATTTCATTTATCTTAATTAGTATCAATTCTAATTGAAATTAATTTTAAAAGTAAATTAATTAAAAATCTTACACACAACTGAAAGCAAACAAACTACAAGTGAAAATTTACATTTGTTCATTTACTATTCATTTAAATTGTATTGCTACAACTATATAATACATTAATATATTGCGAAGAGTAACAATATATGATAATTTGAATTTATGTACAAAATTACAAGAGACCAATACTTTTTTAATTAACAAACAAACGTTATGTGAAATAATTGATGGATAATTCTTTCATCTTTTTATGGGGCATTCATGTAAAACTCTTAAGTGCTATTTGAAATTAGTGAATTTCATTCATTTTCTATCAGTGTTTTGCATACGTAAACTGTATAATTCTTTCTTTTTTTCATTACTTTTTATGAATTATGTTAAAAGGTAATTAGCATATTTTGAGTGGACATGCAAAATGACCCATCTCAAGAGCAACTGCAAAAATACAAAATGCAATATATGATATAATCATAATAAAACCGAATAATTTATTCATTTTCCAATGTGACAATGCGATAGATGCGACAAGTACGACAAGCATAATGAATAGCATACCGACGCTACATATTAAACCGTTGCTGCAAAGGTAAAGGTTAACATTTTTTTATTTTTCAAACGTTCGTTCAGAATTGAGAGAAATTGTATGTAAAAATGTTGTAGAATTATTTTAATGAAAATTCTTGTCACATTCTTTTCTTACAGTGATGCTTTGGATTAAAACGAACAAATCTTTTAAAAAACCTAAAGTTTTACCTGGAAACTGAAATATAATTCTGAGCGTTACCAGGATTACGAAGAGGTTCAACGACGAAAAATAATAACCAAGGAATTGGTAGCCTGCAAAAAAAATACCTAATATGTAAAGCAATAGATTAGGTAACATTTATGAATACCAATATTGTATTGTGCACATAATTATTCGAAATTTTGAGATTTAATTTTAATCCTTATCCAAAGTTTTGAAATTTTAAGGTGCTGATTAACTTACCCAACGCACACGTCAAAAATATTGCTACCGACGGAACTGGACACAGCCATATCACCAAGTCCTTTCCTTGCCACAATAACACTTAAACAATTAATTGACTTTTGAAGCTCATTTAAAATATATATATAGCAATTTTTATCAAATTCCGAATAAACATTTGATTGATTTTTATATGTCTTAGTAGGAAAATTAGTAAGATATTTTTGGTGTGGAGATTATTCTAAAGGAAAATCTCATAAATAATTTAAGAAATGAATGCAAAAATCTTGCTTTGTCAACATTATTAAGATTCTGCGATAACATCATCTTCTGCAATCCATTGCTCTTGCATTCATATTACATGCATGCTGTATTACATTATTCAAAAATAGATCTATCAAATCTTACAATCAAATTCTATTTGTTTGTTATGACACGAAAAGAACGATCAAATTAATCATACCTGGTGATTAAATCAGGTATGCTTGTTCCTGCAGCCAATATTGTTAATCCGATTACCTAAATTTATAATACAATTTGTTTAAATATTACATTATACAGATTTTACAAATTTTCTATTCTCATATTTGTATGTCGTGTAATATAAATAAATTTAATTCATTATATTTCAAATTTATTTATTTCAATGTTTATTCAAATCAAAAGACACACTGAAATTGTCACTGAAACAAGCAAATAATTTGTTTCTTTTTTTACTTAATTTGTTCAAAAATTCTCTTATTTTTCTTCTTTTTTGAGAAAGTATTATGTATTTTAGAATACTGAAAGATGCATTGTGTTTATAGTCACTTAACTGATAGGAATGATGATAACATAATTATCATCATCTCCTGATGATCTTACGTGGTGACAGATAACTGTCACACTTGCTTGTTATTAATTAATTATTGTGGGTGAGTAGACTTTATTTTTACTTCTGTAGGCATAGCAATTGTTTCGCCAATAGTATTAGCCATCCAAACCATTATATATGAATAAAATGCAATCCAAAAAATGGAACCAATAAATGTAAATGGGAACCATTTGCGAGCATCCTATTTCAGATATTATTTAGAATTGAAAATGACAATTTCAAATATAATTTTTTAAGTCTCGCAATTCTCTATGGATTAAAAGATGATGCTTGAATGAAAAAAAAAAGAAAGGAAAAAAGTTTAAAATTTGATGGAAAACTTAAACCTAAGTTCTCAACAAATTCAATTTGGATCGAATCAACAAGTTTCATAAAACACTTTTTTTTGATTAAATTCTTTTTTCAATGAGTAATTTTTATAAGAAATAATCATACACAAGCATTCTCACCTGCTTCCTGACATCAGGAAGTGTCACCCATAATGGGAATAAAATTGGTGATAAGAACAGATAAAGAAGCTGGCGATGTAATTTTTCAGGCCATGACATATCCAATGGCTTCTCTTCATCTTCTTCAAGCATTTCTTTCTATAATCAAAGTCTGAATCTTTTCACTGATAATTTTTAACTATTACTTTTATGTTTTGAGAGATTAGAATTGCTACTAATTGAGATCTTATAATTAGTTTTGAACACGATTTTTTTTGTTTTATTTTTTTGTAATTTTTGAAAGTTGCTTTTTTTTAGTTACTATTTTTCAGAACTTATAAGATGTCACGACTTTAAGTTTTCAATTAAAAAGTTTATTAAGTGTTTCAAGACAACAAAAAGTAAAAAAATCGATTAAAATGTATGGTAAAAAACAAAATTACTATTTCTGAAACGCAAGCCGTATTGGGACATATTGAGGTACGTTTACTTGTCAAAGTACTTCGTGGACCCATTTCTGAATCTCTACGTTCCATTTCACAAACTGCGTTAGCCTGATATCAAAACTAATTCATTTCGTTTTATAGTAATAAAAAATTAAATTAATTTGTATAAGACATCTTTAATTTTTCAAAAAATTTATTTAATTGAAATACAAATACAATTGAGTTAGAATATTATATCATAGAATAGAAGTGCAGTAATAATTTGGAAAATTCAAGTGTTATCATTAACTATCTTAGTGCTTTTAGTATGATAACAAACCAACTTAGACATTATACATATACTTGGAGTAGGTTTAATTTAATTAAAATTCTCTGATTCTTTTTTAACGCTTTGTCAATTTCTTTTGAAATATTTATTACCTTTTGATTATTTGGATGGTATTTCCAGCCACGAACAATTTCATCAAGCGTAATTTGCGCCGGCATTGTACCATTATTTTCATTCTGTACATTGGAACCTGAAAGAAAAATTTATCATTGTTTAAACATAAGTGCAAAAACGGCTATTACTGAAAGCTTTTTTGAAATTGCATTGAAATTTCAGATCGCAGTAATAATATTATCCTCGGAAGATAATTTTGATATAAAATAACTAACAGAAATAATATTTAAACATTACAAATTTTATAAAAATGATTTTGCATACTTTTGATATTTACCTTTTTTCATTTTAAAAGAGATTATTTTCAAAATAATTGATATAAATTGATAAAAATGCAATAAGGTGAAAAAAAAAAACATCGGAAAAAATGGTTGAACAAATTTTTGGGTAGTGAATTACTGCATAGGTTTTTTTTTTGAAAATGAGGTTTATGAAATTAGGAAAAGAGTTTTCCTACTAAAACTTTTATCCATAGGCGAATTTCAATAATGCTATGAATTGCAAAAAATGCTGTTAAATTTAAATTGGAATCATTAAAGTGCTTACGTATGTACCACAAATTTAAAATGTCCCATCTCACTCAATCCTTTTTCTTTTTTACTTTCTTCAAAAGTTTATTTCGATTTAGTTGTGAGAAAAATTAATATTAACTTTCATATGTATGCTTGTGTGTGTGTGTCTGTGTGTGTATGTCCTGTGTATGTGACTGTGTGTGTGAAAAATTAATATTAACTTTCATATGTATGCTTATGTGTGTGTGTCTGTGTGTGTATGTCCTGTGTATGTGACTGTGTGTGTGATGGAACGAATTAAAAAGAAAACATAAAAGTTGTGTTGAATTTCAAAATTCATATGATGATTGATTACAAAACTTGCATCATAATGAAAAACGCATTTGTTCTTTGTGTATGAAATAAAATTTAAGAAAAAACTATTTAGTCAATCATTTCGATCACTCTGCAAATATCATTCAAATGCTCTTAGCAAAACAATATGATAGTTTGTGTACTGAAAGGTTTCAGCTATTATCGATTTTAAGTAACTGCAACTGCAATTAACTAAATAATCACAATACTTCAAAACAAGGAACAAATAAATTTTAATTGAAATAATTCATTGATGATAAAAGTCAGTAAACAAACATTAATTTGTGTATAACTGGCAAAAAAGAAAGTACATAATATGACAGTTTATTTTAAACATTTCAAATTTAGATTCTTTAAATTTTTTTTAGAATTCAAATTTGTCAAACAAATTTGTTATGATCAATAATTGTCATTTTTTCAGCCTCATAAACAACCACATAAGATGCTAATTTGCTTGCTAGTAACTAGGGCCATTTCTTTGAAGCAGTTTATTTGAACAAAATTGTTTGAATTAAATTATTTGAGTTTGAAATTTTAAACGGACAATTTTCTGCAATAAAAAATGGTAAATTAATTAATGAAAAGTAATAGCCATAGCTTAAACATGCCTTCATTAATGCCTTCTTGTAATGGATCAAGTCCTTGGGATAAAAGCTGGATAATACCGTTCCGGAAAATTGCGCCACTATGCAAAATTGGAAAAGACTGACGACGTGAAGTATTATCGTATGCTCGAATGCATGAGTTTGATCTGTTAGATCTCCCATAAACCGAATTGCGTTGTTGCTGATCGTCCGGTGCTGCTCGACCGTGTTGCACTGACTGTGTTCGCGATACGATCGTATTACCATCGATGTATCTTACTGTATTCTCTTTCTAAAATTTAGTCTAACAAAGCATTTGATATGAAACATTTTTAATTAGTTAAAATAATCAGCCAAATAATTATAATTAATAATTAATGCCGTTGACATTATTACCTTTAAAGTTTCGTTATCAAATATCTAATTTTCAAATTTTATTCAAAACTTTTTGTGTGACCTTAAATACCGAATATTTCACTTTGATAAAGTGTTGTCCGAAAAAATTTACATAAATTTTTTCAAAGCTTTAAAAATAATTATATTTTTTTTCTGCTATTTTTTTCTTCTATTCAAAAATATGTGAATGACATGCGAAGTAAAATCATTTTTTCATTTTATCAAAGAAATCGGAGAATTTTTCTTCTCTTAAATAAATTTGTTGAAGCACACGCATTTTCACACAGTGAAATTCATTTATTGCTTTTAAAATAGAGCGTTGTGAGGAAAATATGACAATTGATTTTTAGACTTCAATTAGTAGAAAGTAAGTTATGTTAAGAATGCATTAGAGTTAATTTTTTTTTTTGGTTTAAAATAAATATAAGAGACTAATACTTGTAATTTTTGAACTTAAATTTTTTTATTAGCTTTTTTTTCACTCTTTTTTACAAAAAAAAATCATAAGTAATTATTGATGCAAAAATGTTATTTTGTTTACCTCTTCTGTTCCTCGCACTTTGTTACCTTCTTCTTCCTCTTCTCCTGATTTTTTACCCGAACAGCAATATTTAACGAAATTTTCGACAGTTTCATTATATTTCATAAATGTACAATACAATAAATAAATGAAAAATAAACCAAATGCTTCGAACCAAAAAATCTGAATTAATTAAAAAAATATATAAATCGAAAAATTCTCTTCTACAACAATTTGTTCACAAAATAAAAATTTTCACAATAATAATTACTTAATATAACATTGACTAATTCATTATTTCTGTTAAACTTTTCTAAATTTAATCTTTTTTAAAAAATAAATTTGCTTAACCTGTTCATCTAGGAAGAAAATAACCAACATGAATAATGCAATCACATAAAATGCTACATCTCTGCAAAAATTAAAAAAAGTAGCATCGATAATTAACGAGATGATTCGAAGAAGTTAAAATCTTGATGTTTATACTATTGTCGTATCATGCAACAAAAGTTATGTGATATCATATCATAAGACTATCATAAAATTTCACCAATATACAGTATTTTTTTGAAATTACTAAATCAATTTTGTTAAAATTTTCTTGTAAATTTAGGAAGCAAAAACTGATTCGAATGAGACAGGAATTTAGTCTTTCAGATTTTGAATACTAAAGCAACTTATGATTTGATAATGTATATATACCTGAACAAAGGCCACCACGTTAAATGCAAAACACTATGAGAGAATATTGCACAGCAAGAGAGGACACAGAGTATGTTGAAAGTGGCACTACCTGAAATATTGATAAGCATAATTCAAGCATAACTTTATTATTAAGATAAATCTGATTATAGTCATCTGGGGAATTCAAAATGCTAAAATAAACATTTGATAACAAAATGTGCATCATCATCACTATTATCATTAAAACGCTATCATCATGAACACCGTTATTATTATCACTATTACTATTACTATCGATATCAACATTATTAGCATCATTATCGTCAACGTTGTTAGTATCATCAATAATCACCATTATTATTACTATCTTATTATCATTACCAATCATCACTATTATTATCACATGACACCATCATCATCATCACCATTATCATCACCATCATCATCATCGTCATGCATCAAGTAGTTTGAATTAAACATAAAACTTACCAACAATGGTACCAATGCCAACATTATTCTGGGCAATGAAAACACCGATTACAGATGTAAAAAATTCCGGTGCTGAACCTCCGGCAGCCATAAATGTCGCACCTAATTATTTGGATAAAAGTATAGGAAATAAAGTGAAAGAATAAAAATGAGGTGAAAACGAAATAATATTTCAGCTTTTTTCTTATCAAATAGAATCTGTTTCACATTTTTATAAATAATACCGACAGTGCAAATGATTAATTGCTATGTCATGGAATGACCTTTCCTTTTTACTCAACAAAGATTACAGACTTCTTAAAAAGAGGAAAGGAAAGAAAAAAAGATATTTCAATTAAGCAGGGTCAAAGGTGATAATGGATTAAAATTTTTTATTAATTAATTACACTACCATCTGAAAGTACAGTGTTGCCTTCTTCGCCCTGATTTGATGTTTTCACTTTTGATTTTCATATCCCTCTTTCAGATGTCCACTAACTCGCGATCACTATGCTATTCATAAGCTGTTTCAAGCAAGGTTACCTAACGTACTGCTTACCAAATATGATCAATCTTTACCTGCGACATCATCACTGATTGCCAACTTATCAGTGATAACACCCAATGATGGCACAAAGAATTCATCACAAACAATGGCTAGCGCAATGAACATGTAAATCAAACCAATGATGTGCAGGATTACTATAAGTAACAATTGTTGAAATTAGTTTTGTACGGTAAAACTTAATTATCACAATAATTTCACTAGACAAATTAAATTTTATCAATTAAAAACTTCAAATTTTGCAAATCTGAACATATAAAAATTTTAATTCAATAAATCAGTTACTTGCTCCATGGCGTCGTTGTTCGAGAGTAAATTGATCTGGCGGGAATTGACCTGCATCGTTTGAATCTGTTACGACTCTCTTCGTTTCATTACTATACTGATATATCATTAGTTGTGTTAAAGGTCAAATACTTCAACGAAGAAAATGAACAGAATAGGTTAAAAAGATAGATTAATATATATTAATATAGTATTAAAATACTTACTATAAATTTCTTTTCTTTCAATTAAAATCACTTGAAAATAAAAACAAAAAACAAAAAAAAAAAAAAAAAAAAAACGAAAATAAAATCAAACTCCTACATTTTACATTCCGGTAAAATACCCAATAATTTTCGTCGTTGAAAATTTATAGTTTGTTGTTGTTGAAATGATATTAGTTGTTTTTGCAGTTGTTGTTGTTCTTCTGAATTTAAACGAACCATCTGTATGGCAGATATAAAAAATATTGCTAATGAACAGATTATAGCCCGTCGTATGAATGTTTCATTGAAACGGCGATTCCTCATCCTGCAATAAAGTATAATCTTTGACGTTTCGAAAAGTTAGATAATTTTTTTTTTCGAATTTTAAAAGAATAGCAATGATGTGTCAGTGGAAATAAAATATATATCCTGAAAGTAAACAATAAGTAAACTTCAAATGAAGCATATTTTCTAATTAAAGGAAAAAACGGATAAAAGTTATTGATATATGTTAAAAGTAGAAGGTTTATCAAGAAAGCTATGAAATAATCTTGCTTAGTTTACTTATTGATTAGATATATATATAACTTTTTTTATAATTTCGATAGAAAATTAACATTTCATAATTTGTTAAAGACAGCAATGTAAAGTAGGTTAAAATAAAAATTCAATATTATTATTAATAATAATAATAATGGGTTTGAAAGAGAGCGGATTAGCAAAGAAATCCATAAAGAGATGAATAAAATATTACTTTGAAATTAAAAGATAAAAATATTGTATTATTTGTAGAATAATTATTTAGAAAGACTTAAAATGTAGTATAAGTAAATGCAAGCTAGAGAATAGAAAAAATGTGTATGATTTTGTGGAAGTGAAAAAAGCTGAAAGAATTGCCGGCTTGCAAATTGCAATCATTTAACTGCTATTCCCTCTGCTTTCACTAATTTCAAAAAGTTTACACTTCAAAGGTAAAATCGCCAAGAAGTGATTTATTATAGAGTTGTTGATAATAATGATAAGAAGCAACTCTTCCGTACCCATCCATATCATACATGTGATAATGATGAAAAAAATGATAAAAATAAATAATAGGGGTGAATAATTGATTCAAAAATTCTTTATCCACTTCAATTGCGATTATCATTTTGAAGAATTTTAATTTAGAATAAAAATTTGAACAAGTGTGATTTTGTCTGAGATATCTCGTGCTTATGTAGTAAAATCCTTTATTACAACATAATATCGTGGTGACGCTTACACGTATGTGATAATGTTTAAATTTTATCTCAACAAATAATTGATATTATCTAGTTCTAATGTTCAAAAATCAATAATCTATTGAATAATTCATTTCAAAGAAGAAAAAGAAATTAAATAAACACTCTAAGTAGACTGTTAACTGAGTTGTGAATGAAACTAAGCTTATTGGGAGGGTAGATTTAGACGACCAGCAGAAAGAGGAAGCTTTTTGAGATGAAATTTAATAAATAATCATTCGTCTAGCCATCAGCCCACTCGTTTTCATAGTATCATACTGATAAGTAATGCTCTATTAAAATCATTTCATATCAAAATTAATTCATTTGATTCGTTCAATTTCTACTATTGTAGTCATATGAGAATTAAATTAAATTAAAAAACATTTGGAAAAATTGTCTAACTTTTTTTTTAAATTTTTTTTATTACTTTAATTAGAGTTATAATTATAAGGAAAAGTTAGAAGTAGTTGGACAATAAATATTTATAAATAAGTGTTACTCTAATCGATAATAAAGTACCGCTTATTACATCAAAGAGATTTCTTCTTTTTTCGTCATTAATCTGATCGAAGTGAGTGATAGAAAGAATGATAGTAGCAGTAGTAGCGAAAACATGGCGCAATAATCCATCAAAAAAGTTACGCCGATTGGACTAGGATAGATTCATATGAGATTCCTAAGGGAGTATTCTGAGGACGCATGTTCTCCACATCTTCCATTTTAGCACCAGAACAACAAATATGAAAACTTTGATTACTACTAAAATATTGTTGCTCAAAGGATGAAATAAAAAGTGGTACATTAGCATAATAAACTAACAGAGCCATCCAACTTAAGCTTATATATTAGCTAAAGTTTCAGTGAAAATAACAATGCTTAACTGTTATTGCAAATCATGGGATGAAGTTTATTGTTTTAGTAAACATAGTGAATACAATAGTGATCAAGAGATAAATTATCAATCAATAGAAGCATGCATAAATGTTATTTGAGTTATCATTTGAGAAAGAGTTAATTTAATTATTTCCGGAATACAATTCCAGTACAAACGATTTTATCAATGATGCAATTACAAGCATACTTAATAAAGCCATATTGCAAATTGGTTACGAACGTAAAATTGTACTTGCATTACTTTTTAAGTAATTGCAACAATTTAACTGATAACTGATACTATCGCAAACCTATAAGAAACAGAAACAAAACAAAAAAATGGAAAAATTAACTTAACGAATAAATAACGAAAAAAGAAAAATTTAGCTTAGTGGGAGAAAAAAAGAAGAGTTTTCCAAAGATTTATTAGGAAAAAGAATGAAAATATTTTTCGAGAAAATATGAAGCAAAGGAAGTTATTTTAGTGCGAGTGGTAATTTTAAATTTCAGAAAAATAAATTATTATCAGTTAGGTTAATCGAATTTTTTGGAACGAAGAATATTCATTCGTTTTTGTTTATTATATTTTGCAAAAGTACGCAACCACATGATTAACTCTTTGAGAAAGTTCATTGTTGTTTACCTTCAAGAAAAATAAAAAATAAAAAACGTTTGTTCACTTCTTATTATCTTTCAATAATTTTTAGCAATTCTCAGTTGCCACAATTATCATCTCTCAATTTTAATTTACAATTGACGAATTGTTTGTTCTTATTGATTGTTGGTTAATCTGAAATAAAACTTAGTTTACTGTCGAAATTTGCTTCTATTTTGTATATTTGACAAGTAATGCTGAAAAAAAAAAATTCACTTTAATCATATAAAAGTAACAAAAGTAATCGTTATGAACAGATAATTAAAAAATAAATGAAAAAATAGATCAGTGAATGATAAGAGGAGTATTACGGATAAGTTAATCACTGTTTCTTTGTGTTGTAAACATCGAAATCTAATGATTAGTGTTTTTTCTTACTTCAGTGAGGGATAAACTTGATAAGAGTAATCAATAATTGTCAGTCTACTTTATTTTTCCTTTTTTTGGCGTCATTTACTAGACATTTGTTATATTGAAAAAGTAATTTCTCGACTAATTGCATAAGTGAAAGGTAACAATCTACTACATTTCACTTAACTTAATTATTATGTAATAAAATTTAAGTAATAATAAAACGTGAATGACTATTTGTAAAGTAAAATTAGCATAATGTTTACTTATGATGCTTAATTAATTCCAAAGGATTACAATTAAAGCTTTTAATGACAACCTGCCGTTGCAACTTAATCGATATTTATTTCTTCCTATTCATATATTGTAATATTAATAAAAAATAATCAAAAAAAAAAAAAAACTTTAACAACTAACAATAAAAAATTCTTAAATAACTAAAAAATTTAAATTTAGCAGTTATCTCTTTAATTCCTGTTTTATTATTTCTTTCACTTTTATGCAATATTTTATCAAAGTGATATAAAAAGGACACTACTGATAGCACATCCATACAACCTTACATAAAAGTAAATTCGCAAAACTTTATAAATCATTTTTTAATATCAAAAAAATAGTTAGCAAAGGATTTTTTCTCCTTCTTTTAGTTATTTGTTAAAATGATTTGTTGCGAAGTTTTTTTCTTCTCTTTGAACAAAGTTAACGAAAAGCTTTACTTCATTTTACTTATTTGCGATCTCTTGCTACATATTTAAAATATTTCAGACAAACTTTATGCTTAAGGAAATAAGAAATAAGTTTTAACCGGAAGATAAAATGCATGAAGTATAATTGAATCCCAATTCATTTTGAAAATTAAAAAATAAAGCTCATAACGACTGACACATAAGTATTACATAAATTTACTGAAAGCTATTTATGCATTTGTTAGATAAGCGTAATAAATGCTATGAAATTTTTTTCAGTGAAAACATATTGAAATCCACTGAATGTTGACCAATGACCGATGACCATTGTCACCAAAATTGGTTGACAATCGTTTGATATAATTTGTTTAGTCTTTAGATGATACACTTTATTGTCGGACCACGCTTATGCATACTTTTCCATCTAAACTTAATATTTTATTGCGCGAAGCTCACATATAATTTATTCAGCCCGTCTAATTTCGTCGAGCAGTAAATAATATTATGCATTTGAATTATTTGAAATAATAAGTCCTAAAGGTATTTTTAAATTTATAATAGCTCTACAGACAATATATCACTCATCATTTACGTGATAAGTCAAAGAAAGCTAATTTTCTTTTTTAAAGATGATTGAGCAATTATTTGAAAGTTAATTATTATTTTGAAATGAAACAAAACTAATTATTCTCCAACAATTTAGAATAAATTTACCATTGTTCGTTGGCGGTCGCCATCATACTCACTTTTAATTATTTGTATCAACTTTAATCAACAATTTCTAGAATTTCGTATATTCCGAATTTAAGAAAGGATGGTGAATTTTTTTGAATCTCAAAAAGCAATAAGAATTTCTCCAATTTTTTTTGCAGAAAAATTCTAGCTTCTAACAAAAAAATAAGTTGTGAAAAATTCGAAGACTGAATTCCATTAAATCATTTCGACTGATTACTGATTGTTAATTTATTGAATAATTACAAAAAAATCATTGAAATGAATCAACATTAGAATAAGTGCATAGAACAATATTCATAGATAATTTCATAGATAATGGAATTTCAAAAAAAAAAAAAAAAGCTAGTGCATGTTGTGGTGATTAAGTTCTAATAATCGCTGCAAAATTACAAGTAAATAAGTAAGTATTTGTATTTGTTAGTAAAATCAAAAATTAATGAGTGCTAACTTGTCAACAGGACATCTGTTGTATTGATATATGGGATATATGTTAATTACTTGGCTTGCTTGTTTATTTGATAAAGCAATCCAAAGTTAGAAATACTTTTGCAAGACGAAATATTTCACTGATAATATTTTAATGCAATAAATTCATAATCAACAAAATAATTCATTCCATTAATTTAATTTTCTCTACAACGCTAATTTATAACATACAAAAAAGTATTCAATTCGGAAAGAATTTTTTCTTTTTTACGTCTACTAACTGACATGATATCAGGAAGGCATAGATATATCAAAGATTACTGTAGTTGTCGTACT